GAATAATATTTGAGAAGCTCCGTGAATGGGGTATTGTAAAGCACCAGTTTTTGCAGCCTGTATGAGTAGTAGTTCTAGCTGCACCTTAGGCTTTTGAAAACACAGACTGCTGGGCTGGGCCCTGAACATTTGCATGTCTAGGAATTTCCCATGTGATGCTGATGCAGCTGGTCTAGGGCCTCACTTTGAGAACCACTGGTTTCCACTCCTCATCTGGCTCCTGAAGCCCCTCCTGCCAAGTGTAACAATGTGGGCAGCAAGGTCACCCACTGTGTTGCTGGCCCTGCTGCAATACGTGCAGATTTCTGAATGCTTCCCTGGCTTCTTACACTCTGGCCACCCTGCTGGCCTGTCCCTATGTACTGGTTGTTACTATTCACTACTAATATATGGCTGGCTGAGCATTTACAACAGAGGGGCCACCTGGGTCTTAGCCTATTCCTTGCCTCCTTTTCTCTACCTTACTTCTACGACTTTAGTGCTCAGGACTATGACTATAGCCTCTGTTCCTATGCAGTCATAGAAAAGCCACTCTTGATCACTGGTAACCACTTGAAATTGACTATGACACTGAAGACGGTAAACAGCTCACTATATAGGTGATTTTCCCCAAGGCCATAGACCTCCACACAGCCTGATATCTTGACATAAATTCTTAAGTGACAGGCTATTCACAGGATCCTGACAACCCACTCAACTTCTTAGGACAGAGAAATCATGATAAAGCCAGCTCAAGGCCTTTCTGTTGTGAAGAAATAACTAAGGCTTCCCAATAGAATGCTATTCTGATAAAAACCCTATGAATGGAAGAAGGGTAATTTGATGTAACCTTAACGATTTCAGATTAAGCTGTGGTGATCACAACTTACTTTTCTAAGTGCTATCAACACATCTGTTTAATAAAGTACTTTATAATTTGGATAGGGATTGCAGTTAAGCTGCCTGAGTTGGGAGAGTATTTTTAAAAAGTTTCATGACACAGTCTATATCAAAAGATTTTTCACAGTCAGATAAAATTTCATAATGCTTATTAGTAATAAAAATATCTGGGAGGTCCCACATAAAATATTCTTTTAAAATTGGTATAATCAGGGACCAGCAGTTAGCGTAATGGCTATGTCGCTGGACTCCCACGTAGTCGACCGCGGTTCAAGTCCCAGACCTGGTGGCTTAAAACTCACATCGGGTGCGTGTGCATGCGTGCCAAGATCCCGAGAGGAGAATGGAGGAGAAGGGATTGCAGAATGCCCATCCCTCCTGGGGGGTGATTTCTCGCTTTCTGTCTCTCTACCTCTCTCTGTCTGTCTGGCGAGTGCACGTGCCCTATAGCAAAAACCTCTCCAAAAAAAAAAAACACGTGCCCTTTAACAAAAACCCCTCCAAAAAAAAAAAAAAAAAGAAAAATTGGTCTAATCAAATACTCCAGAATCATATTTGATTATGAAATCCCAGGTTTTATTTATAAAATGTCGCATTTTTTCTAAAATATGCACTTAATTCACTCACATGTACTTTTGCTAGGTGGAATTCTAGAAACCAAGGAGGAATAAGATTAAGTCCCTGTCCCCATAGAGCTTACATTCCAATAGGTGTGCAGAAAATAAATAAATATACAATTTAATTGCAGGTAGAAATAAATGTCATGAAGAAAAATATAATAAGACAGATAAAGACTGAGCATTGGGACATTCAAACACATGAGGTTTAGGAAGAGAAGGAAACTTGGCTTACGGACATAGCAAAGAAGGAAGTAAACCCAAATAGAGAAAGTTCCAATAGCCAGAGAAGAAAGAATTGCAAGAAGAAGGTTATCTTCAATAGTTCAAACTTCTTTTTTTTTGGGGGGGGGGAGTTTTTCGCTATAGGGCGCGTGTGCTTGCCAGACAGACAGAGAGAGACATAGGGACAGAAAGCGAGAAATCACCCCCCAGGGGGGATGGTCATGCCGCAATCCCTTCTCCTCCATTCTCCTCTTGGGATCTTGGGCACACACACACATGCGCCCGGTGTGAGTTCTAAGCCACTGGGTTCGGGGTGCGAACCACGGTCGACTACGTGGGAATCCAGCGACATAGCCATAACGCTAACTGCTGGTTCCCAATAGTGTCAAACTTCTTGAAAGCTTGAGTTTGTTTCATTGCAGTTGGGGGGACATAATTGACAAATACAAAAAAAGATGATGAATATTATTAGTCATTGGGAAATACAAACCAAAACCACATTCAGATACCATTTCATATTCACTAGGATGGTTCTAATCCAAAAGACAGACAATAACAAGTGTTGATGAGAAAGTAGAGAATTGGAGCCCTCATATGCAGATCGTAAGAATGTAAAATGGTGCTGCTATTTTGGGGAACAGTTTGCCAGTCTCTCAAAAGTTCAACATAGAGTTTTCAAGTGACCCAGAATTCTACTTCTAATATATATTAATACCTGGTTTGGATCATGGTTTTCCCCATCAAAAGTTTATGTTCTGAAACTGTGGTCCCCACTGCAATGGCAATGGAACGTGATGAGACTTGTGAGGAAAGAGGCTAGTAACTGGTGTTTGGATCACAGGGTAACCATTATGAATGGATTAATGATGATTTGTGAAAGGAGGTGAGTTCTCTCTTTGGCAAGATGAGGTTAGTTTCCCAGAATGGGTTGTTATAAAAGAGAAACCTACCCATGGGTCACTCCCGTATGTAAGTCCCCTGACCTTTCTGCTTCTTTCTGCCACGTTGCAATGCAGCAGAGACCAGCCAGCTGCTGGCCACACTATTGAACTTTCTAGTCACTGGAGTCACGAGCCAACTAAACCTCTATTTTTTTTTTTCTTAATCATCTAATCTTAATAATTCATGTTCAGTAACATAATAACAAATTAAGATAAGACTCAAGAGAACTGAAAATGTATGTCTACACAAAAATGTGT